GGGCAGGGCGGCGGGGGTGCGGGTCTCCCCGCCGGGGTTTTCGGTGGGGGGCCCGGAGCGGAGGCGACGCAAGGAAGCCCGGCGGCGGCTCGGCTGTGCCCGGCGGGGTTACCGGGGCGGCGCCGCTCCCGCCCACCGGCACCTGTTGCCCGACGGTTCGCGGGCGCTCTCACCCCGCGGGGGCTGGGGGCGGCTGACGGGCTCCGGACCCGGGTCCCCCCTGCGTCCCGGGGGGAGAGAGGGTGGCGTCGAAGCGAGGCCGGTGGGGGAGCCCGGCGGCTGGGCGAGACTCGGCCCCACGCTCGGGGGGGGGCGGGGAGCGGCGGGTAATGGCCGTCGGCGTTGAATCACCGCGGCGGCCCCACCTGCGTACTTAACGGCCGCCGGGCGGCCGGCGTGGCACTCGTGGGGCGTGCTGCCGCCGTGGCCGGGAGCGGCTCCTTCCTCCTCCTCCTCACAGGGCGCTCGGCTGAGGCGAGGCAGCCGCTGCATGAACGTTTCTCTTGGGAGCCGGAGAAGCACCCGCAGCCCTCAAAATGCCGAAGCCGGTACGTGGGGCACGGGGGGAGGGAGACAGGCGCTCTGCGGAGCCGTAGCGGCGCCGCCGCCCGAGCCCGGGCGGCTGACGGGGCGGTCGCCTCCCGGTGCTGCGCCGTGGGCTTTTGCCGGGGGTGCTGCCGCCCCCGCGCTGCAACGGCCGCGTCCAGGTCCCCGCCGCGCCCGTGGGCCGAGCGCGCCGTAGCGGGACGGGGCTTTGCCGCAGAAGTTCTCCGAGGAGGGAGGGAGGGAGCGGCGGGCACCCCCCCGCTTCACGCAGGCGCCCCAGAACCAAATAAGCGGCTACTTCAAGCAGGAGGGGAAACGAGAGCGGCTCGCTTCAGATGTTGCGTGGGCCCTCCGGAGCGGCGCCGGAGCCGTGGCCGGCCGGCCGGCGGCCCCTCGGGTGGGCCGGAGGTGCGGGGGAAGGAGCCTCGGGAGCCGTGCTTGAGAGGCCAAGCGCTGGATTTCTCTGTCGGCTTGTTCTGGACACCACCACCTCCCCACCGCTGCCCGCCGCCGGTATTCTAGTGGGTTTTTCGCTTGTTTTGTTTTAAAGTCTGGTACTGCCGTGCCAGTTAGAAACGATAATTCCCTTGAGGAACCAACTGCCTAATGCAAAGCTTTGAGCAGTCATTGGAGCAGACGCACTTTTGAACTCCGAAGAGCATAATCGGAACAGATTGTTGTTGCTATCTATTTTCAACAGAGGCAATAGTTCTTAAAATGCAGTGTAGTGAAGGACTTATGTGTTAGCTACACCCTGTGAAATGGGAGTAAACAAGCTTATCTTTATGGTAATAAGCAATTGATGTTTTACCACCGTAACATTAAAGTTGGTTTACTTTTTTTTTTTTAAAAAGGAGTGCTTAGGTTAACTTACATTGCAGTTTCTGTAAACCTACCAAAAAAAAAAAAAAGTGCTCAATCCTTTTAAGAACTGCTAACTCTTCTATCTCCCTGGGTGTCTTTTATCAGTAGGAGGTGATATATTACTGCGTATGAAACTGTATACTGGAAGGACCCTTCCGCAACTGGGGATCAAATACATAATTTACAAAGCATGGATATAAAAGGTTGTATGTGAATAATCTCTCATTGCCTTATTACCCATTTGCTAATTACAGAGTGCTTTCTTGAAATTTCCTGGTCAGAATAATCTGAAATCCTGCTTTAGGACTAAGTCATACTGGAAGCCATGGATAGGTGTGGAAAAACTCTTTAATCTCTTAAAAACAAACAAACAAACAAAAAAAAACAACAAAAAACCAGCTGTGTTAATCCTTTTACCTGGCACAGCTATGCTCATATTGCCTCATAGATGGTGATTTTTGTTTCTTGGCTGACTAGCCAGTGAATAGCAAAGGTGGATGGTGTAAACCACCTTCCGCTGGGGAAGGACAGTTGTACTCTAATGATTTCTGAGACATGACCTACTGGCTGGGATTTATGGACAAGACCCTGTGTCAATAGTTTGTACAATATAAGCACCTTTTTTTTTTTTTAATCTGCTGATCAGTACGGCTAACTGCCACCTTACTGTAAACCAAAAAGAGGAATTTTGCAGACGTTATTTTAATAAAACACACTGTTTGGTCTGACTGCGTCAGACTGCGACTGGATTTGGATCCTTCCCAAACCAGCTCATTTGGTCTTAATACAGATAAATAGGATTCCTCTCAGTTTGCAGGGAGCAGGGAAAGAGGACGTAAAGCTGTTGCTCCAGAGGGAGAATGGTGCTGGGGATGAATGTGACAACAGCCTTTGGCATGCGTGAGGAATGATGGCATGAACCCTTGGGACGCACAGGGAAGCAGTTTTAGTTTCTGATGTGTATTTGACATGGGTACTAAATATTTATTACCTGCGCTTGTTTGCATGTGTCTTGTCTGCATGGCATAAGTAAATATGATGTTGTTTGGCAGACTTCATGCCGTTGTGCGTGAAGTTTGACACACTAGTCATCAGTTGTTTACAAGTAAAGGTTAAGATGACAGAAAGCAAAATTTTGGCAACACCCACCCACCCCCCAAACCACTAAGTTAAACCTTTATATGAAACTTCTGTTTTAACATGAATTATGCATGCATGCACGCACAAAGCTTACAGATCATGTTTGTAATGTATTTGTTCACAGTAAACAAACAGTAAGTCCATTAACACTAGAATGTTAGTGATTTTGTATTTTAATTGAGTACCAAAGTGAAGTGCTAGAAAGCCAACTGTTTTCCACGTTCTGTGGTACCGTTTAATCACAATTAGTTGGATCTGATGCACGTTTACAGTGCTCAAATTTTAGTAACAGTCCAGAAAATAATTCTGATATATTTGTTAATATAGGCAAGTGTTGATTTATAATTTAACACGGACATTCTGCCATGTGTAACAGTTACAAAGTAACGAGATCGCTCTGAGGTAAGCTATAAATATATAACTTGTACCCAGTTCATAAGGGTTTATGGCTGGGAGTTCATCAACAGTTCAGATACACAATTTCTACCTAGTCTGTACAGAGGTTCGTTAGGCTTCACAGGTGGTGAATTATTCTGTAAGGAAATGCAAGACGTGTCATCTTGTCCAAATCTTGCTGTGTTATCTGGAAACAAGTGAAATGCTAAATAAACTTATTTGTTCAGCCTTGCATCTTTTCATTACTGCAGTGTCTGTGTGCTTTCTGTGTTTTTCCTAAATGCATGTTACTAGTTTATTTCTGTTTGACTCATTGAATAGATGGTGTTTTAGCTGAATTATATCCTTTTGCAAAACAAACCAATCTAATAAATTGTGGCTAGAACAGCATGGCTGCAGGCTAATGAACATTACTTACCGAAGGAGAAGGAAACGTGATCTCTGGTCTACAGACCTGTTAATTTGATCTGGCCTGTTACTTTATCGAAGGTGGGGGTTTTTTTGTTGCCTCTTGGGGAAAAAACTTAAAGCTTCACAAGAAGTGAAGTCAGCTTTGCAGTGGAGCATTTGATACAGTGTCACACGAGCTTTTAATACTTGTGTGCATGTGTATAAAACTGTAAAGAGACGACAGCAGTAAATGCAATCTAACAGCTTCTGGTGCTAAAGAGAAAATACAAGCGAATAATATCCAGAAGCACTATTTTTTTAATACCTTTACTAATGGCCTGTGGTCAGAAAGCTAAGCATACGAATGAAATCTGCTAATGTCTTGCTGTTGAGGGGGAGGTATTATTGATGCAGAGGGCCATCATATGAAAGGGATTGAAGGACTGGGTAATAAGGTCCCATTGCAATAGTTAAACTTGCAGGGGTGGGGAAAGAAGGTCCCCCACTATATAGGATAGAAGGATATGGGTTAATCAGTGGTAGTATGACTGTCTTGTCTATGTCATCTGCAATGCATAGGGTTTCTCTAATGGAAAGCATTAATAGAGGGTGCTAGTGAGATCTTTCCTTGAATATATGTTGCACTTACCTGTGTCCAGGGGAGACAAATTCAAAGCAGAACCTAGAGAAGGGTTTTGGGATGACTAGAGGCAGAAAGCCACCCCACGATAAGAGTGCTTGGCTAGTTTAGCCTGGTAGAATTCAACAAGTTACCTCTTCCTTAACCTGTATAAAATGTAGGGGGTTTAAATTACAAAGAGGAGGAAGAACTGCTTTAAGCAGAACTTGTGGTTTAAGAGACTTTTAAATATTAGAGCAGTTAAAATTAGAGCAGTTAAGGGGGGAGTGGGGGGGGTGGGGGTGGTTGGTGTGTGTCCATCTGTCCTGTGTCCCCCCCCCCACGTTGGTCTTATTAGGAGACTGTTCCAAGACCTAACATCCCTTAAGATAATGTTTGACAAGGACACAATTTAATGCTGCTGCCTGTAGGAGTGGGGAACTGGAACTGATGACTCAAAAGGTTTTTCCCAGCCCTGTGTTGTTAATAATGTGCTAGTGTATGCTAGGCATTAAGTGGTTAGACAAGTCCTCCATACCTGTTCGATGTTGAATATACGTGAATTCTGAAAAATGAACTTGAAGACAGCATGCAAGTCTTCTGCCAAACCTTTAGCTGCCTGTGAACAGATCGTGGCATTAAAAATTCAACAAGTTTATGATAAGCCAGCCCAAAGAGTTGTAAGCGTAGTGACAGGAATTTATTCTAAATGCAAATAATTAATAATAATAATAAGTGTTCCCAGATCTTCTCAATTTATTTTTTGACTGTGTATCTTCTAACTACACATAGCAATTTCATCTCAGAGTTCTTCACAGCAGATTGCTATAACTGGACTGAAATAAAAATATTTTTTCATATCCTTAAGTGCTTATGATTAATTAAAATACTCTTAGCTTATGGATAGCTATAGATTTAGTTGGGAATAAAATCTTACCCTTTCCTTATGAGCACCAATTGCAGTACATCAGATGATATGGTGTATGGTGTACTTGATACCAGGAGGTGTATACTCTGGTGCAAAATGGAAACGTAAGGAAGCTTCCATTTGCCAAACGTGAGAACTCCCACTCATAGCTGCAAAAGGAAGGTGGAGGTTTCTATTAATAGTAAGTTTAGGGAGTAGTTCACAGATGACTAGAGTTCTAAGAGAATGAGCTCGCAATTGTGCCAAAAACCTGAATTACTCCATGAGCCAAGTAAGCATTTCTGAGGGCAGTTTGTTCTGGGATGTTAGCTGCTGCAGAGAAATCAAGGGTGTTAACAACGGTTGTGTTAGTCACTACTTAAAGAATTTCTTAGCCTAGTTAAAGGGCAGAGGGGGAGAGATAAGCCTTCCTGTTCTTCTCTCCCCCTCCGCCCACATGAATGTCTTCCTCTGTCCATGAAAAAAAGCTGCAGTGTGTCAGGACTTTTAGAGAATAAGACTTACTGATGACCACTGAAGATTCCCGCATCACTGTCATTCTTGTTTGGCACTCTGTGTCCAAAGAGCTTTATGCGCACTGTAAATCCCATAATCACTCAATTGACCTTGAAGGACGGCAGTGCTGCCCAAGATCACTGAACCACCCTGCATGCTGTGTTAAGTAA